TCAATTTACTTTTAAATAAATTTTTAAAACTAGATAAGATCACAAATAAAAAAATTGTGAAAAAAGAAAAAAAGAAAATTAAAGTTTTTATATAAGTTTATGTGATTTTTTCATATAACAAAAATTTTTTTGACTCAACTTTGCAGCAAAATAATATAACTAATAATTACTAGTTATTTAAATGATTGTAATAAAAAATTAAAAATACAAATGCATACTTTTAAAATTACTTCCTTTTACTGATGGCTTATATCGAAATGCAGTTTTATCTTCATCAAGCACCAGATATTTTTTACTAACTACTTTTCTGGTTTTAGATAAGTTTATCTTTCTCACATTGCAGCCACTAGATAAATGGACTAATATTTCTAAACGATATATTATATATATTATATGAATATATATTTGATATATTATATATATATATATATATATATATATAATATATAAATATAATATATATATATATATATATATATATATATATATATATATATATATATATATATATATATATATATATATATATATATATATATATATATATATATATATATATATATATATATATATATATATATATATATACTTTTTGAACATCTGGTTAATAGGTGAGTGGTTAAGTAACATAAATACAATTCATTTATCTAAAAAATTTAAAATTTGATATTTAGTATCATATTTCAACTTGCTGCAACAAAAAGCACTGTTTTATTTGAAAATGAATCAATGTGTTATTTTTACTAACCTAACTTTTCAGAGAAGGATGGTTTTAGTGCCCACAAGAATTAGGTAACTAGGGTTACTTTGCCACAATACTAAACTCTAAAATTTTTTATAAAAAATTTTAGAGTTAGGTTTTTTTACAAAAAATAATTCTTAAAAGAAAAAATATTGATTTTTAGATTAACGATAAATGAACAAGGCATAAGAAAGACATTAAGGAGCATAAAAGTCTACATTGAACAAAAATGTGCATTTTAAAATATAGTCTACATTAAACAAAAAGGCTATATTGACAATGAAAAATACTGATTAAGTAAGCTATTACTATTTTTTTGATGAAGTGAGCAAATTACTGCATATTTTATAGCTTTGGCTATAAAATACATAAAATTGATTATGTGTTTCCTTTGATTCTTTTTTGATTCTTTTTTATTGAGCATTAGGAAACAAGAACAGTATAATGATGCAACTATACATGATTACAAGATATGTTTTTGTTGATGGAATAAATGAAAACAGCTCACTTAATAGTTTATGGTAGTTTTTATAGAAGAAAAAAAGTTAAAGCCTCACAACAAAACAGAGTCTTGGCAGCTAGATCAAGTCAACACCATTTACAATAAAATTTAAGATCTTGTTTAAAAGAGGGCTTTACAATGGATTATAAATATATAGTTTCCATTCATCGATATAGGAATTATAACAAATTTGAATAATGTAATAATAATATATTAGAATAATTACAATAATTATTAGCAGTAAAAAACTGAGTTTTGTTAAAACTACTTTGTTAAAGCTATTGGAATCCTAAAGCTGTTTCTGAAAAGAGAAAAGATTCAAGATCAACCTTGTCTAAGCAGTTGTGACTTAATGTCAAGACTGGAGTATGTAGCTTTTTCATCTGCAAATATTCCATTTAAGCAAATGATTATCTGGAAGATCATTAATACGGATGAGGAATGAGGATGAGATGAGGAATATCAGAGAAACAAGGATGAAAACTTGTAGCACCCTAAAAGTAGGTGACCATTGCCCCGGTTTTTACGCAGGAGAGTCCAGCACCAAACTAATTAAAATTATTTTAGGAGAACTTTTGTGGCAAAGAAATTAAGATAATAACCCAAAAATTATTATGAAGAAAATCACAAAAATTATCCCAGGAGCTAATAGATAGTTAGAACCTAATGCAAATGTACAATAAGAAACAGAAACAAGAAGAAACTGAGCACAAGCGTCAGGGACTAGAGTTTCAGGGAAAATGTGTCAAAAAAACTACTTGAATAAAGAATTGAAAACAATAAATAACTAAAAAAAGATAATTGAGTAAAGTAAAGCTAAGTTACATCAAAAAATTGCCAGAAGATTTAAACCTGATTTTATGACAAATAGGTGAATTAATATGTAATAATATGCCTAGGCCAAGCATGCAAGTATTTGCAAATCAAAGGATAAGAGCCATTAACACTAAGATTTGAAGATAAAGCAGCTACTGATCAACTCAAAGCTGTAACAAATAGCTTTAAATATGGTCTTGACAATGCATACTGGAAACACTAACAAGAACACAATCCACACATGCCAACATAACATAGGCACAGTTTTGATTTTAAAACAATAGACTCTTGTAAAGCTACTACAGATTTTGGGGAACCTTACTACCACCTGGCCTCAGAACCATTAAACTGAGTTAGTGCTATACTCTCACTAGGAGTTAATACAAATAGTTGCCTAGCCACTACTAAGAAAGCAATTAGAAAAAACCATGAGTAGAGTCACTAAGATCCAGCATTCATAATTCTAGGCAGAAAACAATGTAACATAAGTTTACATCTATATTTTACTATTCGTAAGATACCATCTCTAGCCTCTACCCAAGTAAGAACCCTAAGTACGGGACATTTTAATTCAGAGTTAACTACTCCTACCCTTTGTCTAGAAAAGTAAATTATACAAGGAAACAAGACATGAGGCAGGTTGTAATTTGTTCCACGTTATCATTTAAACTCAGTTTTATTTTTCATTTTAAAAAAATGTAAAGTTTACTTTGAGGCATACATTATCATGAAAGTCAGTTGTTAATAGAGGAACTTTCACAACTAGATACTTTCACTACTACAGACAGTTTTATTGACCTAATTGAATTTTGAAGTGCCAGCAAAGCTTTGAAATCAAGTAGTTTTTTAAATATTTTGAAGAACCACTATCATAAGAGTAATCAAGTTTCAACAATGCTTTACATAAATCAAGTTGCATATATCAAGCAACGTGATATCTAATTTTTTTTGCAATAAAATTTTATAAGAAACCCGTATATAAAAATTATAATAAATCTTATGTTTTTAAGTAGTACTATTAGTACTACTTAACTCAGTAAATGATAACATCTTACCAACAAAGAACTTGTTAGTAAATTTGGAACTATGAAATAAAACTTCTTTGAATCACATTAAATGTCACAGATTAATATTATCTTATTAAAAACTGTAAAAATCCTTTTTATTTTGTTTACTAATTTAAGTATAGCTTTGTAGCATACAACTGATTATTGTTTAAGTCTCTAAATCTTCCTAATGTGTTTGGGTTTAAAAGTTTAAATTAAATCGAGATCTAACTTAATTTCTAAGTTAATCAAAAAGGGTTAATTTTTAATTCTCTCTGAATAGTATACTGAAGTATAAAGACTTTTTAAAATTATCAAAAATAATTATTTAAAATATAAAAATCTTTTGTTTTTAAATGAAAAAATTACAACTGTGTAATTTTTAAATAGTTAAATAGTTTTTAATCCATTTGTTTATTCACCTATCTGATTATTTGACAATAGTTATAAATACAAATTGTTTAGACTAATTGAAAGCTGATTACTTTGGTTCAAACTCAAGTCAAGTTATTTTTTGAATGAAATAAACGCGTAATAATCCAAACATCAATGAATGGGTTAACTAAATCCTATTTTATAAATTTTTTTAAGAAAAAAAAAATATAGTTTTATAACTATTGTGCACAACATTTTACAAAATAAAACAGCTTTTAATGCAAAGTAAAATACGCGGTCATATATTAAAGCAAAAAAAAAAAAAACGAGTTAAAATATTTATTATGGTTTTTTCACAAAAATATTTAACATTGTATTTTTTACAAAAATAATTTTTCTATATTGTTAACATTTTTTTAACTGTGGATAAAAAGTCCGCTGACTAAGAAAAACTGGCTAGTATTTTAAAGGACTGCTCTTTTAAAAAGATCCGTTAAATTCAAAATGTCTATAAAGACTTACCGTCAATATTTTCGGGATTGGGTGTTTTTTCGTATTCTTGTGTCATTTCTACGCGGATTCACGAAACTGTCGTCGAGTTTATATTTATGCTCTAAAGATATAATAAATACTTAATAAAATCATTTAAATATTTAATCCCACTATGTCACTTTTTAACAAAAAGTTCTTCAAAAATTACACAGCTGGAAGCAGAAACGCAACTGCAGACCGTGGGTGATAAATACGCATTTTTGGATCTGCAAATTTAGGGAAGGAATTTAATGAAAAGAAAATGAATTAATTAAATAAACTTTCATAAAAAAAAAAAAACTGTTTTTACTTTTCATTATAGAAGAGTCATTTTCTCTATACGCATTCCCACTAGTGCATTAAGTGACGTTAAATTTTATAAGGAAATTTTCAATGTAGAGCGCTTTATGTTATAAAATTTGCAAAAAGTATAAATAAATTTAAAAAACAGCGGTTTTTTAAAAACAAATAGTTTATTTTATCTTGAATAATAATAAATGCACACAGTTTGCGCATTTCAAAACGGCTGGAAAACAACATGCAAATCTCAAAATGCTGCAAATGTTTTCAATGTTAGAAGAAAATAAAGTAGGTTGTTATATTGTTAAATATATAAAAAGTTATATTGTTTATAAAATTTTATTTATTACAAAAATTTGGAAGTGTGCACACATAGACTGACTTGAACATGTAGAACAGGCAGGTAGTGTACATACATCAACTGACTAAATAGGTAGAACACAGGGGCGACGACACAGGTTTCGAAGTGGGGGGGGGGGTCAATATCGTCAATTCTTAAAAAAAACTTTTTTAAGAATTGACGATATTGACCATATCGTCAATTCTTAAAAAAAGTTTTCTATATTTTTTTTTTGAAAAAAAAGGTCCTTTTGAAAAAAAGTGGCGGGCACAACAACATGGGAACCCCCCGGTGTCGTCGCCCCTAAAACATGCGCGAAATATACATAAATCAACTGACTTAAATAAGTAAAATATGTAGGAAGTATTCAAACATCGACTGACTAAATAGCTAGAACATGCAGAGTGTGTACATACATCGACTGAGGGTTTCGGTTTGGGCAGGCAATAAGTTAAAAAAATAGTTTTTGTTAAAAAGTGTTTAAAAATCAAAATTTACACAAAACTTCAAACGTCGGAATAGGTTTTTGATTCTATCATCTACCAAAAAAGTAGGTACAGAATTCCATCTAATTTTCATGTTGCAACTGTTTTCATATATAATTGTTATACTTTTGTTGGCCTTGTTGTCCAGTTGGTCCTGTAGTAGATCTCGCGTCTTTTTTCATGTTTTCATAAAACGCTAACTTTCCTTCTGCGCATTAAGTTTGTTTTAATTTATTGCATATTAAAAAGAAACAAAGCTGACAAATAAGAACCCAAAAAAAATTTCAAAATAAGTTTTTTTTTATTATGAATAAGTTTTAAAACTTTAAAACTGCACTCAGTTGTACTTCTTAATACTTCAGAACATTTGAATTTTTATTATTATTTGGTAATTAACCTATCCTTTAGTTGTTCTACTAATATCCTTTAGATAGTTGTTCTACTAATATCCTTTAGATAGTTGTTCTACTAATATCCTTTAGATAGTTGTTCTACTAATATCCTTTAGATAGTTGTTCTACTAATATCCTTTAGATAGTTGTTCTACTAATATCCTTTAGATAGTTGTTCTACTAATATCCTTTAGATAGTTGTTCTACTAATATCCTTTAGATAGTTGTTCTACTAATATCCTTTAGATAGTTGTTCTACTAATATCCTTTAGATAGTTGTTCTACTAATATCTTTTAGATAGTTGTTCTACTAATATCCTTTAGATAGTTGTTCTACTAATATCCTTTAGATAGTTGTTCTACTAATATCCTTTAGATAGTTGTTCTACTAATATCCTTTAGATAGTTGTTCTACTAATATCCTTTAGATAGTTGTTCTACTAATATCCTTTAGATAGTTCTTCTACTAATATCCTTTAGATAGTTGTTCTACTAAAATCCTTTAGATAGTTGTTCTACTAATATCCTTTAGATAGTTGTTCTACTAATATCCTTTAGATAGTTGTTCTACTAATATCCTTTAGATAGTTGTTCTACTAAAATCCTTTAGATAGTTGTTCTACTAATATCCTTTAGATAGTTGTTCTACTAATATCCTTTAGATAGTTGTTCTACTAATATCCTTTAGATAGTTCTTCTACTAATATCCTTTAGATAGTTGTTCTACTAAAATCCTTTAGATAGTTGTTCTACTAATATCCTTTAGATAGTTGTTCTACTAATATCCTTTAGATAGTTGTTCTACTAATATCCTTTAGATAGTTGTTCTACTAAAATCCTTTAGATAGTTCTTCTACTAATATCCTTTAGATAGTTGTTCTACTAAAATCCTTTAGATAGTTGTTCTACTAATATCCTTTAGATAGTTGTTCTACTAATATCCTTTAGATAGTTGTTCTACTAATATCCTTTAGATAGTTCTTCTACTAATATCCTTTAGATAGTTGTTCTACTAAAATCCTTTAGATAGTTGTTCTACTAATATCCTTTAGATAGTTGTTCTACTAATATCCTTTAGATAGTTGTTCTACTAATATCCTTTAGATAGTTGTTCTACTAATATCCTTTAGATAGTTCTTCTACTAATATCCTTTAGATAGTTGTTCTACTAAAATCCTTTAGATAGTTGTTCTACTAATATCCTTTAGATAGTTGTTCTACTAATATCCTTTAGATAGTTGTTCTACTAATATCCTTTAGATAGTTGTTCTACTAATATCCTTTAGATAGTTTAGATAGTTTATAAGCAATGTATAATCTAACCTGGTATTAAAAACTAAAAAATTGATTAAAACAAGTTTGACATAAACTGAATTAAAAATTAAGAATTACTTATAATGTTATTTTAGACTGTTGGTACGTAAACAACTTAATACATGTTTTCTTATAAAACGAAAACCTAAAAGATCATAATATATATAACATAAACTTGTTGTTGTTGCTGTTGTTGTTATCTTTATAAAAGGTTTAATAAAGAACGTAAATCATTGAAGTTAGGGTGTCTTTGAACTCTACCACTGCCTTCATCCCTGCCTCCTTCCATAAATACTATGAAATTTTTTGTAATTTGTTTAAATTGGGTCCTTCCTCCCCCTACATTTGGTCAAAAATAAGTTTAAGAAATAAACGGATTCTTTTTCTTGACCTTCGTATTTAATAAAATGCTTTGACATGGTTGGATTTTTCCTGGTACAAATAAAGTCATACCGAACCTGATAAGATGTAGATATAGATATATCTACATCTTATCAAGTTCTGTATGATTTTATTTGTACCAGGAAAAATCCAACCATGCTTCATTTTTTAATGCTCAACAGTTTTTATGTTGTTATGGACGTTTAGGTTGCTATCATTGCAATCATTTCACACAGTACACCTTTATTGTGAAAAAAATTTCTTATTACCAATCTTATTACGAAAATATCTTGCAAAATAAGGAAGAGTTCTTATTTAAGATTAAATGGTGAAATGTTTTTGTTTAAAATATTTTATACATATTATTATTTGCACAGCCATCATCAGTGTATGTTGAATAATACTGTTGATTGACTTTCTAATGCAGTCTGAAATTAAAAATTATTATTTATTTAAAAAAAAAAAATTTTAATATCTTATTGTGATAAAATCTTAATGTAAAATAAAAAACTAACATAACTTGCTTTGCAAATAAAATGAGAAAACTATATGTCCAAAAGCATTTCTATTTGTTCTTGTTTTTAACTATTAACTTCAAAAGATTTAGATAATTTAATGTTTTCTTACCATACGCATTTTATTTATAAGGTTTTCTTACCCTACGCATTTTATTTTTTTTTTTTTTTAATGTTGATTTAGGTGCCCCAAGAAGTCCTTACGGTCTTATCACAGAGCACCGCGGAAGAGCATTTAATAGGAAGTTCACGCCTCCTTCCTAACCGATGTCGCAAAACTTGCCCAGAGGTGGGTTTGAACCGCGGATCTTACGTTCCTAAGGTAAGTGCGCTACCACTGCGCCACGGCTGCTTTTAACTTTTTAACTTAAATATTTCCAAAGTTTTACTAAAGATTTAAGTCCTCGCGTATTTAAAGTCGATACCGCAAGGTGCAAGCCTTAAATATTTACAAATAAAGTTAAATTCATACTCAATTTACATTAAAGTTAAATTCATACTCAATCCAACACCGCGGACCTTATTTGTGGAAAATTTTACCCCAGATTGTTACTATCAAAAGAAATACACTTGAACAGTTCAAATCTAAATCAAAGCGTTTTTTATTATCTACGGACTTAAATTTTCTTTTTCTTTTTTAGTAAAAAAATAAACTAGCACAATTTATTTCTTTTATTTTTTTTATTTTTTACTTGTTCTAAATTTATTTTACTAAACGAATTTATATATAAACAGTTATATCAATTGTAAAACGTAGTTTTTCACATTTTTACATATCTTATCACAAACAATTTATCACGATTTTATATATTTTGTTGTAAAAAACGACCTGTAACGAAGTCACTATGGGGCTCGGTGATAAGACAAACTGATGTCTTCTTCTTGCTCGAGCCATTTGTTTTATTATTTATGTTATTTTATAAATTGTAACTTTTTACGGCAAAATTAAATTAAAAAAAATTAAAAAAATAAAAAAAATAAAAAAAAATATCCGCTCTATATGCAGAAATAAGAAATAAAAATGGCTAAAATCAAACTTAACAAAAATCTCAACTTTTTTTTAAGAATTTTAAAATAAAAAAGGCTTTAAGCATTGTTTTTTTTGCTACTTTAAATGGAGCTCTTAGACTAATATAGCCTTGCTCTAAGTGTGCCTATGCAGCTACATCATTGAACAAAGACCAAAAAAGAGATATTTAAGTTCACTATTTTCTACCTGCTAAACTTGGTAATGTTTTTGGTGAATATCAAACGTAGTGAGATTTTTGTAGGGTTGTTAACAGATACGAAAAACCAACAATTTCTTTTTAAAATCAAGCTTTTAAAACTAATTATATATCAACTCCGCCGTGTTTCTTGTTTAAAACGCGCCGTAAAAGTAATTCATACGCGCAAACCGATATGATTTTCCTAAGTAAAAATGCTCACCGGTATGTTGATATAAATAGCATCAATAAATCCAATAACTATAACCACTAAAAAAAGAATTTTTTTTTTTTTTGCAACTTTTAATAAAGTTTCTTTCAAATTTTTCTACGATAAATATCTAAGTAACAAAATACACCAAATAAGCAAATACAAACATGTAAAACAAACTTAACACGTATTAGTGAAAAATTTAACAGCAAATTAAATTAGAAACGTCAAGAACATATGAAAAATTTAAGATAAATTTATTGTAAAGCTAAAAACAGACCGAAAAAACGATTAATGAAAGCTTATACGGCAGTAACAAGTACACGCAACAATCTAAACGATTTCATGAAAAGTAAAAATAAAACGTAAAAACGTAATGTTGTTTTATACTGATCTTAGAAAAATAAAAAATAAATGTAGATACAAATCTACTAAACATTTCTTGAAGGCTTTATTACAAGAGTAGAGTTATCTAATATGCTTTGTATTTTTCAAACCGTTTTTTTTCTACTCTCTCTCCACCTCCCCCTCCTTCCCGTAATTGTTTTTCATGGTTCTTTTTTGAATTTTTTTTATTAATTGAAGATATATACCTATATACATGCATACATATATACATATATATATATATATATATATATATATATATATATATATATATATATATATATATATATTATATATATATATATATACATATATATATATATATATATATATATATATACATATATATATATATATATATATATATATATATACATATATATATATATATATATATATATATATATATATATATATATATATATATATATATATATATATATATATATATATATATATATATATATATATATATATATATATATATATATATATATATATATATATATATATATATATATATATATATATATATATATATATATATATATATATATAGATAGATATATATATACATATATATATGTATATATATATATATATATATATATATATATATATATATATATATATATATATATATTTGTGTGTGTCTTATTTTGAAAAGTAAGGGATGTATCTAACACCCCCTACTTTTTAAAATAACGTTCCTAAAACTTTCAACCAAAATACACATTCACACAAAATTTAAGCAGAGGCAAAATGATGAGTGTTTTTAATTGAATTTTTTCAACACTTTATAGTCAAAATAAAAAATTTTCCGTTTTTTCTATCTTGTTTATATTTCTATATTTTATACATTCGTTTTTATTCTTTCGTTGTTTCAATATCCCACCTCAAATTTATCTCTATCTTCCCAGTAGGTACAGAACGTCCCCAGGACGTCTTAAGGATTAATGAAAAAAAAAACGATTAATGAAAGCTTATAAAGCAGTAACAGTAACTACGGACTTCTGACGTCCATAAAACGTCGTATAGACATCATACGGACGTCAAATAATGATTAGCTTCATCTCTATCTCAATGCTTAACTTCATCTTACAATACTCAACCTCACCTCCGTCACAATTCTTAACTTTATATCCGTCAAAATGGTCAACTTTATTTTATTTAAATGCTCAATTTCATCACCACCTCAAAGCTATTTTACTTCAGATTTACGTTTTAGGTCACTAAGGGTGTAACCAGGAAATTGCTTGTAGAAAAAAAACTTTTAAAATTTAATAAATGAATTGAGTGAGATAATTAAAATTTAAACTTTTAAACTTTTATTAAAAACTTTTAACTAAATTTTTAAAAATTTGCGCAATAAAATTAATCAAATTTTTTATTTGTTTAATAAACAATATTTGTTCAAAGCAACCCCACCCATTCAAATTTACATCAACAGACACATTAGTGTCTGCATTACTTATTCAACATAGTTGTTACTTGCAGTCTGTAATTGCTTTTAAGTTGAATAGCATACATATTATTAAGAAAAAATTTTTTATTACACGTAGTTAAATTATTTTTAATTGTTTATAATGCTGGTCTTCAGATCTAAGGATTGAAATTGTAAAAGTCTTAAAAGCTTCATTGGCGAGGAAAACTCAATAAATTATTCTCTTAATTGTCAGAAATACTCTGAAAACATTTGAAACAACCGTTGGCATCAAACTTAATGCAGGGTATATATCAATGGTATCAGGAGTCCAAGATCAGTATCAATGGTATCAGGAGTCCAAGATTAATTTTTAGTGAGCTTACCAACAGATTTAACGAAAACTGTGAAATATTCAAAATATATCATCATATACTTTACAACATGATTTATTAATCAACGGTCTTGGTTTTGCTTTACCACTAGCATTAATAAAAATACAAATGTATTTGCTTAATTTGTTTTTATTTTTGCAATTTCTAAACACTCAACGAAAAACCAGCGATTTAAAACCTAATATTAAAAGTGAATTCTCCAATCTGGTTAGCAACTTGGTTAGCAACTTAGTATATAAAAAGACCTCATCAGTTGTATAAGAAAACACAAAATATTAAAAAAGATAAGAATACTATCATCACAACCAGAAAAAGAAAATGGCATAATCGATCTTATTAAAATTGGTCCAAATCTTTACAGAATATTATGAGTAATAAGACTTGAAGACTTGAAAACTAATCTTTGAAAACTTAATAAGTTCAAATGTTTTGAAAAAGACATTTAAAATAAAATCTCTCTTGTAGGATCTCAAACAGCAAAAAATTTTGCGTTACCTAAGATACACAACTCAGACAATATTCTTGCGCATGGTTGAAGTGATCGGACGTGTTTTTGCAGCGTGGAATTATTTGTTATTTTGATTCTTTTTATTTTTATTTTTTTATTTTTTTTTAACAAACTACTACTAATAATAAATTTTTGATATGGATACTAAAAGTATTGAAGCACTTGTTGCTGGTTTACTTGAGAAACATAAAAATTCCAACTTAGATGAAACAAAAAAACTTTTAAAAAAATCAAGAAAAGAGTTTTGCATCCTTAACAGCTGCAAACTTTAAAATGTTCACAGAAAGGCTGAATGAATATGAAAAAGATAATATAAATAATATTCAAAAGATTAGCAAAATTGAAAATGATTTAGAGATAACAACTAAAAAAGTAATCTCTCTTGAGGCTGACTTTACGGAATTAAAGAAATACATAACGACCAGTGATCAAATTGCTACTGAGAAATTCGAGGTAGTAAAAAAGAAAACTAAAGAAATAAATAGTAAATTAAGGTATAAAAGTGAGTTATTAAAGGTAAAAAGCAAACTAAGAGAAATTGAAGATAGATCGAGAAGGAATAACCTGAGAATCGACGGTTTAAGGGGGAAGCCCCCCCTAAACATAAGTATTAAACATTTTAAACAAAATCAAGAATATAAAACATCAATATAATATGAATAAACAAAATCCTTGAAAAAAAATACAAAATGGTTTTTGGTTGCCATAGTTACCACAAAAAACACATAAAAATGGGCAAAAAATGCATTCACACCGGCCGTAAAAACTAAACAACCATGCAAGATCTCTTAAAAAGCTTTCACCAAATGCTTCACAAAAGGTCAAAGGGTGTTTTAATAGCGGCATTTTCCTGTAACTAAAAATCTGAGCGATGTGTGCACATTTAAAGATGGCGAAAATATTTTTTATTCAAAATATCAAAAATAAAAAAATTTAAACCTCAATTTAAAAAACTGTTTGTATTAAACCACAGTTTATAATCATAAAAACAACTCCAGAAAATTTCATCAAAATTGGTTAAACGGTTCTTGAGATAGAACGGCCGGCGTGTGAAAAAAGACTATTTTGAGAAAACGCGAAAAGAAAAAAAAATGAGCACATAAAACTTTAAAACTTTAAGTAAAACACATACTATAGTTAAAATATCTAATAAAAAGTATTAGAAACCTCCTGCTTCATACAACTTCCCTTCATTTTCTTTTTCTTTATCATTTTTGTTATGTTTTTTGCCACAAATTATTTTTCGTCGCAACTTGTTTTTATCAATATTTCTGTACTTAGAATGTAACAGTCGTTTATAGTTTAAATTTTTACAACCTTTAAGAGTATATACTCCTGGAATTATGTCCAAAGATTCATAAACTAAAATTGAGGCTTTTCGACCAATGTTAAAATTAGCTACTGCATCATAAACTCCAAATTCTAATTGACTAAATGATACAAATTTCGTTTTAGGTAAACGCTCCCAGATAGTACAATTAAAACTTTCATTAGTATTTTGTGTCTTACCATGTAAGCACTTTTCCAAATGTTGGTCAGCACTGAGTTCTGCAAAGATTGGTTTGATTTTATAAACAATAGAAATTGGTAAACCTGGTCCAGGTTTATAAGTATTTGTTCCATTGGCTTTATCTGAATTATATTTGCACCAACTATCAGCTCCTACTGGGCAATGTGGAAAATGTAGATTATTCTCCTTATTGGAGGCAACATGATAAAGCGATGCCAGAGTACCAGCTTTCATAGATGCTAAATCTCCTACATTAGCTCTGATCGCAATACCAAAATAACTTTGCAACCGATCAATTGTCGCATCTGTTAATTTACCTCTACCACCAAGGTTTTTAGTTTTTTTCTTCAACTTTCTTAATCTTGTACCGATACGTTTTTGATAGTGTCCAACACACTCAAGTTTTTTTACTTCCAAACCAGGGTAGACATTCATAACATTTAAATAGCTCTTACTGTCCCCATCACCTAAATAGTTTACATAGCGAAACTTGCGTTCTGTAATAGAACGTTCAAATATTTTTTTCATACCAATTGGCTCCATACCCCCAGCAGACCCTTTGTAGTCATATGCACACTTATGTACATTTCTCCACTCAGCAAAATGTAAAGGTTCACTTTTCTTTTTTGGTTCCATTAAAATACAAGCTTTACAAATTCTACTCATTGGCTCTACGTCCAATATTTTTCCACTATCAATAGATATTGCAGTCATTACGCCATTATATGATGAAAAACCTCGTCGTTGCCATGTCCCATCACATGAAACACCAGTATCAACAATATCAGTATTCGAATTGTGTCTGATTTCCGCAGCAGCATCACACATAGTTTCTATTGCTACTTTTTTCACAACTTTAGAGATTGTTTTAGCAAGCTTGTCGTAGTTATTTCTAGTCATTGGCGGAGGAATATTCATTAAAGAAGTGAATTTTTCAAGTCCTGCGTGACCATGACCCAACGACCGCATTGTGTAAATAGCTCGCTTATTTATGTCAAATCCCTGCTTACCACTTTTTTTTGAAGTACAAAAATTTTTACGAAATAAAAAATCTGAGCATTTTAAAACTAAAAAAGAGGCAAGTCCATGTCGATCTTTTAAGTTGTCAGACAACACAAGAGAGTCTTCATTGAAGCACATTGGACAAATGAGTTCTTTAAAAATAACAGATAACACTTCTATATCTATAATTCTGTATCCAGACAGTAGAGTAGAAGTTTCAACTACATCAATTTGTCGTATTTTTGAATGTGATGCTGGAATATTTACGATATTATCAGAAGCGTCATTTTTATTTTCATCACTCAGACAGTGAACCACAGTCTCATTATTAATTAAAATATTTACAATTGGAGTAGATTCTTTATTTACACTATCAACAACAACTTCTTCTTCATAAATTAATGATTTTTTAACTGGAAAAGATTTACACCTTTTCCTAGCAAGATTAGTTCGACGTTTTACTCTACAACTTTTTGGCATTCTTGTTAAATTAAATTAACTTAATCTGAGTGCGTTTTGTCTCCTAATCTCGCTTACTTTAGCTTAGCTGAACAAGAAGTATAATAGAATGAAGCATCCTAACCCAAGTTAGGCATTTTACATCAGCTTTTTTTTTTTTTTTTTTTTTTTTTTTTTTCAAATACGACAAAAAAAATTACACTTTCGATATATCGAAACATCAACTCACCATTAAAAAACCTAAAATTTCTGCACTTTAGAATGATTTTTATGAAAAACAAATTACATAAATGAAATCTATGGTAATTTTTATGTCTAATAACGGTCATACTAAATTTTTGTTTTTTTGATGATTTTAGGGGGAGTTTCCCCCTTAAAAGAAAATGATAATGAAAGTTGGAGCAATAGTGAAGAAAAAGTGTTGAAGCTATTTGAAGAATCACTTGGACTGAAAGAAATTAAAATTGAAAGGGCTCACAGAACTGGAATCAGAGACGGCAAAAAAGTAAGATCTATAGTACTAAAATTACTAAATTATAAAGATAAAGAAAGAATCCTAAAAAATTCTTCAAAATTAAAAGGCAAAAACATATATATAAATGAGGATTATTGTGCGGAGACGGTACAAATAAGAAAAGAATTACGGATGGAAATGAAAAAAGCTCGAGAAGGTGGGAAATTCGCGTTTATATCATACGACAAGTTGATTGTACGAGAATGGTCTCCAAAAGAAAAGTAAATATTTTATGTTTCTTCTAGCTTAACGGTACCTTTTATTTTTCCTTTTTTTTATATATATGATTTAGATTGTTATTATATTCTACTTTTTTAAAAATGGGTGATAATCTTTTATTAAATTTGAATACTGAGAGTGATGATGACTATTTCAATAAAAAAAACTTTGAAAGTGAGTATTATTCAATCCGTGAAGCTACTCATTTTTTGTGTCAATAAAATAAAATAAATAGTTTTTCAATTTTAAATTTAAACATTCGAAGTATCAATAAAAATTTTGATAATCTAAAATTATTATTGCATGATCTAAATCATGTTTCAACCAATAAATGGTTGAAAAGCATTGAAAAAAACTATAATTATGAGCTAAGTAATTACGTGTCAGTCCACCAACCGCGTCAAAACCACGTTGTCGGTGGTGGTTTAAGTATCTTTGTTTACAAATCTATTAACTTTGAATTGCGTAACGACCTCAGCGTTAACGAAACAGATTGTGAGTCGTTATGCATTGAAATAAATAATAAAGCGACCAAAAATATAATTATTAGTTCTATTTATAGAAAGCCATCTGGTAATTTAAAAAAGTTTCATACCTATCTAAAAACATTTTTAAGCAAAATTAACATTACAAAGAAACACGTGTACTTAACTGGTGATTATAATATAAACTTGTTAAATCATGCTTCAAATCTAAATGTTCAATGCTTTTTAGATACACTTATACAATACGATATCATTCCCACTATAAATAAGTCGACGAGAATAACTAAGACTTCGTCGACCTTACTAGATAACATATTTACTAATAATTTTCATAATTGCCCTTTAGAATCGGGTATAATTAAAATTGACATAACAGATCATTACCCAATACTCTTAACTACAGATAATATAACCCTTAATCATTCTGTCTCTAAATCAACAATATCAATGCGACAAATCAATAAAAACTCCATAATATATTTTCGAAATCTTTTATCTGAAAAAACTAATTGGGATCTTATATTACAATCGCAAGATGTGAATAATGCGTATGAATTATTTTTGGCGCAGTTTTGTAAATACTATGATTTGGCATTTCCAGTTATAAAAAAAATTATAAATCCTAAATCACTTTTAAACCCTTGGATGACCAAAGGTTTACTCAAATCATCAAAGAGGAAACAAAACCTTTATGAAAAATATTTAAAACATAAAACATATAAAAATGAAACAAAATATAAAAATTATAAAAACTTGTTTGAAAAAATAAAGAAACAATGTAAAAAAAATTATTATGCAAAATTGCTAGAAAAAACACATGGAAACACACAAAAGACGTGGAATGTAATTAAGCAGGTACAAATAAATGTCAAAATGATAAATTGCCAGAAAAACTTTTAGTTGACAAAGATATAATTTATAATAAAGAAGTCATAATTAACAAGCTCAACAAATTTTTTCTTGATATTGGACCAAAATTAGCTGATAAAATTCCAAAAACCAAATCAAACAACTTCGAATCTTATATAAATACACCCAACACATCTATGATAGAATCTAATTTAAACTTAAGTGAGATGCGCAATGCTTTCAACTGTCTAAAAAATAATAAATGTGCGGGCATTGATAAAATTAGCGTAAATGTAGTTAAAGCTGTGTTTGATATTATTGAACCATCACTGTTTCACATTTTTAATCTTTCTTTAAAATCCGGTATTGTACCGGAGAAATTAAAAATTGCTAAGATTATATCTATTTTTAAAAATGGCGATGATACAAATATGTCCAATTATAGACCTATTTCTGTCTTACCATGTTTCTCTAATTTGTTAGAACGAATTATGTATGATAGACTTAACAACTATTTAACTGAGAACAATATTCTGTATAATAAACAATTTGGGTTTAAAAAAAATCATTCAACGGACCATGCAGTAGTCGATCTAGTAAATTATGTATCCAATGGGTTCAATAATGATTGCTATACATTAGGAGTTTTTATTGATTTGTCAAAAGCATTTGACACTGTTAATCATGATATTCTAATAAAAAAACTAGAAATGTATGGAGTATTAAACAATAACTTACAATGGTTTAAAAGTTACCTTTCAAACAGGAAACAATACATAATATATACAGAAAATGAAGAAAAAAAACATATCATAACTTGTGGTGTTCCCCAGGGATCAATCTTAGGGCCCTTATTATTCATACTGCTCATTAATGATTTGTATTTAGCATCCAAAATTTTAAACGTTATTTTGTTTGCTGATGACTCAAATCTTTTTTACTCTAACAGAAATATTAAAGATCTGTTTAGAATTTTTAATGAAGAGTTATTAAAAATAAATGAATGGATTACGAATAATAAACTTTCATTAAATGTTGGGAAAACTAAATTTATGTTGTTCCACAAACCTAGTAAAGGTGATAACCTTTTTTTAAAACTACCTGATCTCTTTATGAACAAAAAAGTTATTAAAAGAGAGTCAACTATTAACTTTCTAGGAGTGATATTAGATAAAAATATATCATGAAAATATCATATTAGATCTATTGAAAATAAAATCTCCAAAAATATTTCAATGCTATATAAAGTTAAACCTTTTCTTAATACGGAATCTTTAAAAATTATATATTTCTCATTTATTCATAGTTATCTTTCCTATTGTAATCTTGCATGGGCAAGTACCAATTATGGGAAGCTCAAAAAAATTTATAGCAAACAAAAACATGCTTGTAGGATTATTTTTGGCGTTAACAGAACTGTTAATGGTGAATCTTTTTTAAAGAAACTTAATGTGCTTAATATTTACAAACTTAATATATACCAAGTTATGCTATTTACGTTTAAAATAAAACATGCGTTATCTCCTAATATATTTCAGTCTTACTTTACCGAAATATCTCATAAATATCCCACTAAATTTTCATCTGATAATTTTGTTATTCCAAAATCTTATTTAAAACTCAATTCATTTCAAATTCAATACCGGGGACCATTTATTAAAGGTATTTTTATTTAAGGTTTTTTAAAAAATATAATTAAAAATAAAATTCTTCGAGGCATCTCCTCAGAACAATTCAAAAGAGAATCTAAACGTTTTCTATTAGAAAAAACTTTCGATTTTAAAGATTTCTTCTAAAATCACCTAAAATAATTAAACCTGAAAAAGTCATCACTACTCATTTACTATTGTCTTATGAATCTTGTTTATTTCTTATTAAAATAAAAAATATATATACTATTAATTTTGAACAGACAAATAACATTTATTCGATTTATTACTTGTGTCTTATATTTGTCGAACTAATATTGTATTGTACTTCAATTTTTAACATTTTAGTTTTTAACTTGTAACTTTGTGACGTTAATGTAAACGGGGCTTGGCGATAAGACAGTTTATGTCTTCTTCTTGCTCCGGCCAATTTTTATACATGAATGGTTTTTTCTCATTGTAAATTTAATTATACGGCAAAATATAATAATAATAATAGTAAAGATAAAATTCTCTTCCAAAGTTTCGACATATAATATCAACAGTTGGGACATAAAACTACAACCTTGCCACACCACTTAAACACCATCAACATAGCAACAGACTTATTCTTTAAAGATAAAACCTGCTTAAAACCACTTTCTAAAAGTCTTTTAGAAATTACTTCAGATTTTTTTTTTTTTTTTTTTTTTTTTTTTTGTTATTTAGGTGCCCCAAGAAGACCTAACGGTCTTGTCACAGAGTACCGCGGAAGTGCATCTAACTATGAAGTTCACGCCTCCTTCCTTACTGTAACGCGAAAATATTTCCAGAGCTCGTTTCAAACCTGGATCTCCTGCTTATAAAGTAAGCGCTGTAACCACTACGCCACGGCCGCACATTTTAACTTCCGGTTCCTAATTTCTATTTGACAGAAAATGTTGCGATCAAACAAATGTTGTTACAATTGGTTCTCCTTTAGCGCCCATTTTAGCTAATATTTTCATAGGATTTCAAGAAAAATGGGTTGGCAGTTTTAAGTCCTTCTTTTATACATGTATTAATAATCAGTGTGTGAATGACATAATTGCTCTTAAAATCTTTAATTCTAATTATAAAGCCCAAGAATTTTTAAGTCATCTTGATAAACAGTATAAAAATTTGAAATTTACGATGGAAAAAGGACAAGAAAACCAAAAAAGAACCAGAAGCCATTTCCCTAAGCTACTTAAATCTCGTGTTGTTTACAAATTTTCTTGCGCTGGCTGTAATGTATATATATATATATATATATATATATATATATATATATATATATATATATATATATATATATATATATATATATATATATATATATATATATATATATATATATATATATATATATATATATATATACATATATATATATATATATATATATATATATATATATATATATATATATATATATATATATATAT